ATTCATATTTCTGCTGTTTCCTTGAAATTATGAAAATGAGTATGTCATGTCATGATTTGTCCACAGATGGAAGATTCAGAAGGGACAGTGAGACAAATAGGGGCATTCTCTGAAGGCATCAACAATCTCACAGTAAGTCTGAAAAATGAATTGAAACCTAAAATAACCCCAAAGGATTGCATGTATATTGGAGAATGTGTAGTTCTGAGCTCAGAACTCAGAGTGTGAATCCCTATCTGCTTGTTTTTCAGCACATGTTGAAGGAAGATGACATGTTTAAAGATTTTGCTGCCCGCTCTCCCAGTGCCAGCATTACAGACGAAGATTCAAACGTTTGACCTGTTTGAGCAGTAGGAGCCCTTTGTCTTTTTTCCACTTTATTTTTTAAATACTTACATTGTGTACTATAAGCAACAGATTGTATATTGTTTATCATTCCAACTTTTTCTCATTTAGAAGTGGAAATGGACAACAGGAGAATTGTGCCTATTCAGAATTTGCCACAAAAAATGAGACACTGGTGAATGAGAGTATAATTTTTGTTCCTCTATTTAATGTAAAAATCCATGATGTATTGTATTTAAAGTGTTGCACATCCCAGCATGGAGGATTTGGGGAGCAGTAACCAGGGTGTGAATGACTTTGACACATCATTGCTCACTGCAGCCATCTAAGCAGGACACTCTGTGCTCAGAGGCAGTGTATGGAATTTTGTGTGCCCATTGAATGCCAGGTACACCTCCACTTGCCTCTTATCTTATTTTTATATATTTTTCTAAATATATGTATATATATATAGTACATAGAAAATAGAACTTTTATTTTGTGACATAAGGAAGATGATGGCAAGATCACATTGAAAATAAAAACAAAATCAGATAAAAACAAAACATAGTGATCTAAATTTTCATGTTCCAGATGGTCCTTAAGAGATTTTTCTTTCTTCACAGCTGAACTTTTTAACAAAGTTTATCTTTCAGGCTAAATTAACATACATGAAATAGCCTTTTTTAATGGCACCACAGAATTGTAGAGCAATCTATTTTGATTTTAATCTTGGATCCATTTATCTTACAAGGAAGAACTCAAGGGACATTACTATACCATTAACTTGTATGTATTCATAAACATTCACACAGACCCCTGTCAAAATCGGTAGAGATAATTTCTAAAGAAATCAAAAATAAAACAAAAACTTTATAGTGTTTTTTATTTTCTTCTTTGTTACATACATCATTACATCAAAGTACTAACAGTCTGCCTAGATAATGGTATGTTTCTCAGGCCATCAATAAATGGAGCTTCATTTCATTTCAATCAGATTCAAAAATTCTGAGGCTGCAAAACTAATTATATAATGGCTATTTCATTACATAAAATGTAGTTCCTGTTTTTCTATAACACAAAACTCAAATTTTCTTTATTTAAAAAAAAATAGTTGCAGCAAAACTGTACTATTCGTGTTTTTTATGGGGTATTAGAAAAAAATCTATTTTTCATTCAGTGCTACATATGCTTATGATGGTCAACTGTGGAAAGGATGGGTTTTCACAAGATGGAATGAGGTGGGCAGTTCAGTCAATGTGAGTGAACTTGTTTATAAACTCTATTTGAATATCAGTGGTGTTATATTTTATATTGTCAGCAAGTTATCAAGCTATTCATCAAGGAACTTATAACATAGATTACTATTTATTCATAACTGAAAGGATTTGATGCTATGGTGATTTCCTTTGAACTTTTTATCATTCATTACTTGGTAACTATATTGGACTCTTCCTGTATTTGGATTTTATTTTAATGTGAATATATGTCACCATTTGAAAAACTCAATTTGTTATTAGAAACTGGTTGAAAATACCAGAAGACTGTTAAAAAATGCCAAATTTTCTTTAAGATTAAAATTTTTTCAATGATATATTTTATTTGCAAAATATTATACACTGCTGGTATTACCATATGAGAGGAAATAAAGTCAATACTTAATTGCCTAATGCCTTTATTATCGTTGTTTAATTTTTACCTGGTTCAAAATAACAGATGGGCTTGGTTTCTGGTGTAGAAAATAGTAACAAACTCTTTCTCATTGGTAAACATCCATAAATTTGTTTAAGTGGAGTGCCTAATGTGTATCATTGGAGAAAAATTTGAGGTCTTTGAGAAAGATTATATGAAAGGAATATAATCAACTGAGTGGGGGAATGAGGAATCATGACAGAAAGGATATAGGAAAAGTAAACAGCAATGACTCACCTACAGATTTGAAGCCAGTTATAGAAAGAGGTGTATGAATATGACCCATACACCTTTGAAGAGCATACTATCTTTTGGAAGAGGGAACATCTAGGAAGAAATTACCAAAGATTAAAAGTAGAGTAAACATAACACAGAGAAGAACAGATGTTTTGTGTGAAATTGAAAACGTGTAACTTAATAAACCAGCAGGAATCTGTATAAATACAGCACACCTACTTGACAAACAGGGAGCCCTCACATGTTTGCTTAGCAGTGTGTCTATATGCTTAGCTATACCAAGGAAGTATAGGGCTAGGAAACTGTGATCATATTAACAGATGTGACTTCATTGCAGAACTTTTCCTCTGAGAAAGAAGCAATTCTGAATGACATTCACATGCTTGATGTTTGGGAGCAGTATTGATTGGGTGCAGAGAAAATGGGGCAAAAAGCATCACAGCAGTTGGCTCTGAAGGACAGCACTGAGGTTCTTAGCATCTGTGAGGTGGTCAGTGAAGCCATAGTCCATGCAGCTCAGAAGCTCAAGGAGTATCTTGGATTTGAGTATCCACAGAGCAAACTCTGCCCAGCTGCAAATACTCTGAATGAGATCTTCTTAATCCACTTCATCACTTTCTGCCAAGAAAAGGGAGTTGATGAGTGGCTCACCACCACCAAGATGACCAAGCACCAAGCCTTACTATTTGGGGCGGACTGGGTTTGGACCTTTTGGGGATCTGATAAGCAAATAAGGCTTCAGCTGGCGGTTCAGACTCTACAGATGGCTTCTCTTCCTCCTGTGCAGTCAAAACCTTGTGACTCCCCCAGTCCGGAGTCGAGGGTAGAGGAGTCTTCCTGGAAGAGAAGTAGATTTGATAAGCTGGAAGAATTCTGTAACTTGATAGGAGAGGATTGTCTGGGCTTGTTCATCATCTTTGGTGTGCCGGGAAAACCTAAAGACATCAGGGGAGTCGTCTTGGACAGTATCAAAAATAAGACTGTAAGGAGCCATCTGCCAGGACGCAAGGCTGTGGAACGGTTTGTCCTGGAAACCGAAGATTGTGTCTCCATCAAAGAACTGCTTGGAAACTGCCTGAGTAAGAAAGATGGGCTGAGAGAGGTGGGCAAAGTTTTTATTAGCATCCTCTGAACTGGATGTGTGCTGTGACTGGCCTGTATCATAAAAAGAAAAAAAAGATATTCTCATAAGCAAGCTCATTTACATACATCATTCCTACATGGGATTTTTTTTCCCCCTCTTCCCTTATCCCATTGATTGAAAATGATTACCTGGGTCAAAGAAGTTTGACAATTATTGGTTTCGTAATTGTGGAACAAAAAAAAAGAAAAAGAAGAAAAACCCTGGCTGAATTTTAGGAAATTTTATAATTAGGTTTAATATTTATTCATTTATTCAGTAATAATTGGAAAGCATAGTAAGGTTATGCATAAAGTTTGATTTGCAAAATAAAGTATCTTTGTTTAAAATAAAAGTCTAATGCTCAAAAGTATAAAAATATATTTTTACTGCTGTTGGTGGCCAGTGGGTAGGGTGGAGTGGTGGGGAAGACCACAAAGCTGGTGGTCTTACATTTCTAACACCAGTTTCAATACAGGATACCCAAGCAGAACTTTACACTGCTCTTTTCCTTACTCT